TAAGAGATATTATACTGTCAGGAATATAAACACCAGCAAAAACATTGAATCCTTGTTTATCAAGTTCAATAGCTAATCCATGACCAAATCCACCATTGCAACCACTAATAAGAACATATTTACCATTTGTATTAATATTTGGTGCTGGAAAAAAATGTTCATATAAACGATAAAATATATATAGAACAATAATAAAACTAATAGTTACCAACGTGGCAATATATTTTATAGAGATATTCGAAAAAAAAAGCGTGAAATATTTTGTTTTTATCGTCAAGGGCATGCGTAGGCAAGTGTAGAAAGAAAAAAAAGAGAAACATGTGAGTGTCTAAAGGTAAATGTAACAACTATATGTCATTCATCGAAATATAATCAGAGCACATTAATAAAAAAGAAAACGAGTGAATTTGTTTTATTTTAGGAATTATTAAAAAGAAAACTTGTAAAAATGTAGCTTATTGATAATAGAAAGTAAAGAACTAAAAATATGATTTCATTACTGATAAAAATTAGGTGGGTGTAAAATGAACAAAGTGAAGAATTTAGTGTGATGCTATTGCACTTTGATCTTAGAAAAGCTTATATAGTTTGATTTCAGAGTTTTGTCTACAGAGGTTATTTTTACAAATTTTTCATGAAACTTTTCAATCATTAAAAATTGGATCATTCACATCAATTTATCTATAGAATCACTTAGATGAGGCACATACCTATGTAAAACAAACTCATTATGGTGAACGTGTAGAAAAATGTTTAAACGCATTTTTGTTGATAAAAAAACGCATTTTTTACCTTGATAAACACGCCACTAATGAAGAAGTTTCCAGTCAATAGTAACGCGTTCTTATGATACACATTGGTGTTGATTCAGGAAGAACTCGTTGTTATAGTCAAAAGATCAATATCTTAAGAAATCATCAAAACGTTCAAACAAAGAAAATGTTTACAAGTTCTGAAAATGTGTTCTTTAGTGTAATAAAAACGTACTTCAGATAAAATGAGATTCATGTCTTACAATCTGTTGAAATCAATGTAACGAAAAAAATAATGTGCTTTGAAAAATATGCATGTCTCAGTAAGAAGAATGTTGTTTTTTTCAACTATTACAAACAAAAAGACCGAGCTCACTAGGTTGAGACGATGATCTTTACGAAGTATTGTAATTATTCTCCTTCTTGTTAGAAACCATTTTTAATCACATATATTTGCTGACGCCCAAGTCAAGTTTTGGGGTGTGGGTGTGGGTGCGTGTGGCTGTGGGGTATTAGTTAATAAGAAAGAATATGAACAGCGTTCATACCCACAATCCTACCAATACTCACACCAGCACCCACGTCCACCACACCCCGCTACAAGATTGAAGAATACATCGTTACTTTTTATCGTGCATATTTACTATTTGAAAATATAGTCTGGTCTATATTAGCGTTACTATAATGATCGATCTAAAATATATTTAAATAGAGGAGAAGGATTAACTAGTCAATCCTCTATCATCTAATAAACGAGGATTCGAAGTAAACGTTTCTGAGCTTTTCTATTTGTTTGATTTATATTATATTGAAACAAACTGAATCAATGATTGAGACCAGAGTAGGAGTGAATAAGAAATGTAGAGTCAATGGACTTAATTCTGCCGAAAAAAAAATCACCTTCAGAAAACCTTTAATAACTCAACTTCGGAGTGACATAGAGAGCTGAATCTTTTTCCGGCGTAGAGCAAACATTTCTCTACCGATTGATGTGTAATTGATTGAAAAATGTTTAGCTGTTATGGCGCAATAACAGTGAAAATAGCAAAGGGGTAAAATTTTATCTTATTCTGCTTTGGATTTAAGCTTGCCGATCAATGTATTTTTTTTCCTAATTCTGCCGTTTACACGTAAAATTGCACTAAAATTTTGTAGAAGTTAAGTTTCACTATGAAAATGAAGTCTAATTAAGATGGAATACACATTATTCGATTGGTGCGATGACGGTGCATTGAGTCGTATATTTTTTAATATAGATTAATTTTGTTTACCACAATTTTTTTTCGGTTAAAAAAAAAGAAATTGTAAAAAAGTCTTTTTTTTCGTTCCTAATTCTGCCGATCAATGTAAATTATTTTTCTATTTTTGCCGATCTGTGTAGGGTGG